TTTATCCCTCACTTTACCCTTCCCTCACATGCTCAATATTATCTCTTTGAAGCTGTGGCTTGAGGCAGGTTTTCAGGTTGTATGCTGCATGTTGTATAAATTTTCAACTTAGAAATGCTTCATAGATTAAATAGATAATAATACATGGGCACACAAAGATATGGAATTTATCTTCGAGTGTCGAATTGATATCTCGCATGTGAGCTGTGCTCACTCGTGAGATATTGATTTGAACATGAAAAGATAAATTCTATATCTCCAAAAGTCCATGTATTATTCTGTTTATTATATAAACAAATTCCATGTATTTAAAACAATTTTATTGCAAGATAACAAACAAATTCTTTGTGACTTTGATTTATTGAAAGTAACTAAAAGCAACTAAGAAGTTATTTTACAAAGCCAGTAAGACTAATAATGTGAAGCAATTTAATTGTGTTTGAATAGTCTTTAAATGCTTAACTTAAAATTTCTTCTAATGGTTTTTTTTACTCCTGGCTGTTAACATAACATTACTGTATCAACACATGTAAAATTAAGGTATTTTTGTGTGTGTTCAGATAGGATTTTTCTCAGTAGCAGAAATCCCTGTAACACAGTGTAGTTTATATAATAAACATTCATAATTTGTTATGCCAATGATACAAATAAGATCATCAGCACTACAGACATGCACATCTAGTAGATTAAATGAAGCCTGGGTGCCCTGAAAAAAGGCAATAGTAAATTCTGACAAATTGCTGGATTCTCCTTAAAATTTTCTTAGGCTTGCTTGTCAAGCACAGGGAGAATTTGACATAAGATCATGCATCACTTATGGCCTTTTCCACACACCCCTTTAATTATGAAATGTTTTCATTAACTACAATTTATTCATACCCTAAGGTCACGTGGAATATTGGGAGATGGTTGACATTGCATCTTCTCTATAAAGATCAAGCAAGTCAGAGGTAAGTACATTCCTTAAGCTGTTATTGTAAATTCTGTGTGTAGAATTGCTTGATGGTCATCACAAAAAGCACTGTTGTTGGTGACTACCATCACTTAGGTGATAACACTAAATAAGCGAAAATGCTCAGCATTTGTACCATGATGGCATTTCTTTATGACAAAAACAAAAGTATCAAGAAAAAGAAAAGTATTAAGTTATTCCTTTTCGAGAAAAATTGAGTGTCATTTGACATCACTTAACAAGCAAAGCAAAACACCACTCCATCCCAAAATAACCCCTCACTAAAGATATTTTGTTTTCTTTGCTCTCTGAATAAGGGAAAATGCATAACATTTGTGCCATGATAACATAAATATAAAATATACAATCTTCAATATTTATCATTATTTAAAACACAGACTGAGGAAAAAGACGTTTTGCAAATTTTGTACAGTTGGAAAGTCATCTATTATATAAATCATTTATGTTGCAAGCAAACTGAAAATAATACAAAATGTATAACAAATATCAAATTATGGCTGTTACTAGTGTTGTAAAAGGTCAATCACTCTTGGTGAAATTGTGAAACTTGCGAGATAAACTACAACGTGAAGGTACCATAATTAATTGCTTGTACTTGATGGATTGTTCACCAAGTGAATTGGTTTTTTTTTTGTTTTTTCTCTGGTTGAGGGGAACTAGGGGATGGCTGACTCTACTGTGACTCATTGCATTGATCCGCAGTAACACCTTCTGCCACTAACCACCGTGGTGTTGTCTTCGTTTCCCATCATTTGGGCAACAACGCTGACCTTATGTCTATCATTCTAATATTTGCCATCAGATTCTTCATGGCCATAGGTTTGCTTCACTGCCTGCTGCTTCCCCCACTTCTTTTTTGCCTCCTGATCCTCTGCTCTTTTGATTTGTATCCATCTTTGCTTGCCTTCTTTTCTCCCTCTCTCTCTCTTCTTTTTTGCTCTACAAGGGTAGCATTCTGTCTGCAGTGGCTTTTAGTAGGGCTTGCAATTATTCTGTTACAACATGGAAGTTTAGCTACTCATAGATCAATCAGCCAGTGATAATTTGGTTTGCACATCTAACAAGAATAGATAGCTTTAATGAATACTTCGTGATCACAGGTGGAAGAAGCTTTACTTATGTTTTTGATTTCATATATGCATAGGCAGAAGCAGTTATAAAGGCCTTACATTTGACACTTAAAGACCGGAGTGTTGGCTTCAGGTTAATAATCTGTTATCAGTCCATACTTTGTTTTACTAGTGACAGACTTATTTGCACCGTGTGGTGTATAAAGTTGCTACTGATTTGACTTGGACATAACTGAAAAAAAGCCTCTTTTGGCTCAGAAATTTAAAGTCACCAATTATAATTTTTGAATGAATAAGTCTAGAAATTCAACTCCTGGAAGCTGTGAGGCAGCTAGCTATGATCGTCCACTAGGCTAAGAGCCTGAATAAAAATATAAGGGGTGCATTTTCTTGATAAAAGGAACACACCTTGTTGCATCATGTCATGTTTCCCTGACAAAAGCCAGCAATAGTGGAAGCTATGTAATGAAGTTTATAAGACACACAAAAGAAAGAATAAGTCCATGTTGATAACTAGCGGAGACAAAAATCTATATGCAAGGAGCGTTTAAAGATTAATGGGATGAGCAATGAGCATTATTACTAGGACTTTTTGGTCACAGATTTGATACACATGAACCTGCAAAAAAGGCAAGATATAGTAATTCAATTGGCCCATGAATGATCTATTTCCAGTAAGAGGGATAGTTGTTCCTGAATGTAAAAGGCTATAGATTTTACTGGTTACCTGCAGAGACTTTGGTTTTTGAAGCGAAACAGAGGGAAAACTGGGAAGCCAGCTTAACCTAAATTAGAATGCGCCCTTTCCCACTGTAAGATGGATTTTAGTGTCCGCTTTCTGCACTCGTTTCTCAATATCCAGTTTGTGCAAACAGGACGTGCAAATACCTTAAACAAAATGCCGAATTTTAGCTCCATCGTTCGCTTGAACCATTTTTCCCAATGTAACTCTGTCTTAGTGAAACCTCTTGGCTCAAACCAAGCCTCTTAGCCAGTTTAAATTCGCACGAGAGCTCCGCAAACTTGATCTGCAGATATCTCCATCACACTTTTGGTCAAATCAAGCGTGGTTTGTCTCGTTTAGGAGCCTTTTCTTCGCCTTTTTCGTGAGTTCCATCGGGTGAGGCGTGAGTAGTCCAGTGGTCAGTGTGCTGGACTCTGGGCCCGATAGCCCGGGTTCAAGTCCTGGCTGGGCATGACGTTGTGCTTCACTCACATTGCTTCGTCTTCTCGGATAGGACGTAATCCACCAATGGGTGGAAGAGACACATGGCACATTTGCATTTAAACGAGCTATTCGCTCCATATGTGGGTAAACTTAGCGTCACCTACTTCGTCTTCTCGGATAGGACGTAATCCACCAATGGGTGGAAGAGACACATGGCACATTTGCATTTAAACGAGCTATTTGCTCCATATGTGGGTAAACTTAGCGTCACCTACTTCAGGTAAGGCACACGAAATTTCCAAGCGTAAATTGTGTGCTAACGATTCGAAGATGGCGGTTTACTGCTACGGTTGTGAGTTCCTAACGATTTCTACTGACGTTGAAAGAAAAATCGTTGAAAATCATTATATTGAACAACGTGTTGATTGGAAATACTCGTTCTTCTTTGCGAATGTGCTCCCCAGTCGACAATTGTTCAGTGACGTGACAAGGCTACCGCGGGTAATTTTCGAGGATGGGGGAGACAGCAAAGGTCGCAGAATTTATTTCTTAACCTACGACAGAGTTATTGGGATATATCCCTATAAAGCAGGACGTCCACAAACACGAACGGTCAGGCTGGTCGTAGATTATGTATCATGTCCTGTTTGCCGAAAACATAGGCCAAAGACAATTGTTACAATTTACCCTTTTTGGTAAAAATGGTGAGTAATACGGTACATTTTAGCTCATTCCACTGCCTTATTACACTTATACATCTACTGATCATTAAATGTGTAACATGATTTTTCTGTTAGCCCTAGAAGGCAGCCACCTATGGGAAGGAAAACCTTGACAGAAAACCAACCGGCCCTCCGGGACTGGGGGTTAAGTTTTGGACTAATAACCCACTCCTATAAAAATAACTATTACGGAAACCGAAGACATTCTGAGTAGGAATCGGAACAATGATGGTGACAGTAGAAGGACAGGAAACTGAAAGGGTTAGGAGGACGATAGATGAGGAGAGGTGACAGGCGGGATGGAAGGACTGGAATAGTGTGAGAGTAACAGCTAAAGACAGGATGGAATGGACACAGAATGTACACATACTGTACCTATCTATCTGGATGGGCATGTCATAAAGGATAGCGATGTCATCTCTTTCTACCACAGTTTTTAAGTAGTACTCATACCACTTGTCTACAGTGTCTAGTTTTATTGTTAGTGTGTCAATAACAAAACGCTTGAATCTGGTTGGTTCTTAACAGCCCTTATTTATTTCTTAATTTGGCCGATGAAGCACCAGAACTGTCCGATTCGATCTGTCCGATCAGAAGGTGCTTGTAATCGGACAGGTCAAATCGGACAGTTGAACAGCCAACGAAATTTAAGCAGCAAATAGAAAAAGCCAATGAGATCTAAGTGCAGGGCTCATGCTAACCAATCAATCAAAATGGGTAATCGTGCTCATAATTTCAATCAGCCTCGCGCTACGCTACGCGCTCGGCTAATTAGAAATTACTCGCTCGATTACTCCCTGAATTGTACTCAACTCAGTCCTATCACCATTACTTATTATGGCGCAGTAAAACTACCTGAATCTAAACAATTAAAAAGTAGCAACACAAGGCGCAAGAGCGTAGCTTGTGCGCTGTAAAGTGAAAAAGAAACGAAGAACTGGTTAAAGAAAAATAAATGAATGAAAACATGCAGGAAGTGATTATTGCAGAAATTAAAATTAATAATTAAAACGAGGTCATAATAAGTCACTAAAGTTAGTAGCGTCCGGCGCTTTGTGACTATCCTGTCAAGTTACAATTTTGAAGGTTCGAGCAATGTTCAATGTGGCTGATAGCAGTGCCTTTTTCATTCTACACAGCACCTCTCTGCTTTTTGTTCCCAACAGTGACTGAATAGTGGCGTCCAAATCCTTCGACCATCCCCCGAGTGCGTCCATGATACAGTTAAGCTGTTTCACGTCATAACCCGGATATTGTTGCGTTAGCTCCCACTTTAAGGGACCGTACTTCATGGTCTTCTCGATATTCTTCTTATCACGATTACCCACCCAAGGGCAACTTATATCGAGCGCAATAAGTTCCTTGGTCTTGTAGTTCACAATTCGGGCATCTATTCTATTCGCTCTGACTTCCTGCTGTTGTGCGAATACAGGAACATCCCAAAACGCTTGGACATCCTCCGATTCAGACATTATTATTATTATTATTATTATTGTCAATAATAATTTGTGTGCAATAATGTTTTTGAAATATTGGAAGCTGTGGAACCAAGGTCCCAGCAAAGGCGGCAATCCAACTCAAGTAAAATAACAGAACGATTCATGTTCTTGCGATCAGTATGAATACCCCTCGTCAAGCAAAACCTGAACCAAGATGTGAATGGAATCGAGACAATTTTCTCGAAAAATCCTGAAACGACACAGCTTTCTGGCGAATGGACTCAATTACTGAATTAGTATGTATTCTTCGTGGAACGCAATCGTATATAGTAATGATTCAAAGAATGTGACACATTTCAATTCGTCAAGGTAAATCTAATTTTAGCAATATTTAACGCAATTGTATGAAAAACTAGTACTCAAAATAAACAACCTTTGACGAGAGTGTTCTTTTATCATTATTGCACTAACAGAAACTCCAACAGTAAAGGCAACATAATATTCAAGTTCAATGTCAGTTATGATAGAAAAGTGTTCTTAACACCAGCTAAACATCTTCAGACAAAAATTTCCAGTAATATAAAAATGACAAAGTTTTTAATTCTAGTTGACCTTTGTCACCAGTGAAGTGCCTACTCTGGGACCTTAAGTTGCCATAACTTTAGGCAACTTTGGGCGATTTAAGGCGACTTTAGCAAAATTGGCACCAAAAATATTGCGACTTTAGCTGATCTAAGGCGATTTAGGGAGACTTAAGGCAATTTAAGGCCACTTAAGGTGACTTAAAGTTACTTTTTGACTGAAGTAATAAAAACAAAGTTAGCAACAGTCTCTATAAACTTTAAAATGTCTACAGAATCCCTTGCAGTAAACACAACAGACATATAGGTTACTTTGGTATTTGCATAAGTCACCATATTCTAAGATATCTAGGTTTCAAGTCAATTTAGGTAAAAGTACTTAGACAGAATTACCACAACAGTTATTGTTAAATTATATAGTCAGAGCTAGTGAATAAATAGCCAGGAAACCAATTTAGCTAAAAATGTTCAGACAGAATTACCACAATAGTTATTGTTAAATTATACAGTTAAAGCTAATAAATAAATAGCTAGGAAAACATCATGGATTATGTGCCCAACATCAAACAAACCTATCATAAATATACACATAGTGACATAAGTTTTATAATTTAAGAAAAGAGACATGATTTACATAAAACTATCAATAAATTTTCCACATAATTAAAAATAACATGATTATTTACGTGTATTAATTATTTTACAAAGCTCCACAAATTATAAAAATTGTTATCTTGGTAAACTTGTGTCTCATATTTTTGGCACTTGCACTGTCAATTTTGACATGAAAGTCTGGCAAGTCGCATGCCTTTCCAACAGCATCCAAAATTGCTCGGGTCCATTTCAAAGACCCAAACAATTTGTTGTTCTCCTGCCCCACTTGGACAAAACACCCCAATACCATATTGAGAACCATATGCTAAGGTCCTTTGTAAAAATACTTCCTTTCCAGTCTCTCCAACTACTTTTCTGGCTGTAGAAAACTTCGACGTCCCAGTTATAGGGAATCTAATCTTTTTCGAAGATCTTCCTCTACTGTTGATCGGATCAGCAGGACCTTCCAAGCATTCACTTGTTTCTATCTCGAAGTATTTCACCAAAACAAAAAAATTAGATGAGTTTTACTTTGGTCTGGTGGCAGAATTACAGGTTTAATGGCATTCATTGTTACCTTACAACTGTCCAGGATCTAACGAGTCACAACACAATTCTACAAACTGGTAACCTTTAGCGATCAACAACGACATGCAAGAGCTTGTAAATTTATTTCAATGTTTTTACTGTTGTTTAAATTGTCTCATTTGCAGCCAAGTTATATTAAACTTGTGGGAAGAAATGTTGAGAAAAACAGAATGAGATACGGAAACATAAATTATTGACAATAATTGTTACCATCATTTTATTATGACTTCAGATTCAATAAGTGAATTTGACATTTACCTGCTACCTTAACTTACATCTAGCATACAAAGCTCATCTTTTCAGCAACTGTCTTGTCATTTAGCCTGATGAGAAGGATTAAAGAAAATTTATGACATGAATAGCAGATGTTACAGGAACTAGAGCATTTGATTACTGTGGAGTGTGCATGCAGACAAATATAGAGCAGTTAGTAAACTTGGTAACACAATTAATTTGAAGATATTTAATTACAACATTGTAGATCTTGAAGATTTTGACAACTGCTGTGCCACTATATCATCTGACAGACTCAAATATTTATTAATCTTTTAATTGACAATGCCCGAGTATGAAGACTTGTTGGGACGCAGTGTTATGCTTTCTCAAAGGGTTAATATTTCTTGTTTATGTCTATTCCTATACTATAATATAATATAGGCTGTTGAGTCAAAAATTTACAAATGTATGGCCGTAAACATTAATTATTCAGAGTTAGGTAACCAGTAACTGTGAAGTTCACATTAAAATTAATGCTTGCAAGTTGTGGTGGGTGTTTTAAGATGACTGAAGTTTCATTTACATTAAATTCTTAAATATTGAGTGCTGATTCAGAATGACATTCTTTTGGTTATTAAGAATGTTCTGTTTTAAATTAGTCATCTCTGTGTGCAGTTGTTAGCAGGCTCCCGTGCGTGATGTTCTTGTGTGCACTTTAGTCACCGGACAAAACCAAGTTGCGTGATCAAATATGACTGGTGGTCATGTTTGCTGTGTAAGGGTTTTCACTGCAAAGGAGGGGCTCATGTATGTTGATCATCAAACTGGCGAAGGTGAAATGTACAAAAAGACTGTCAAAGTCTCAAGAAAGAGGAATATTTACACCTTCAGTAGGTTCGTCAAACTACAAAGTTAAAATGTTTTCAGTTGGTCGAATATAATGGTGGAAGTAGCTAGTACAGATTAATGGGTTTACGCCGGAGAAATGGCCCACTTTTGTCACTCTTTTAATCTGGTAAGTTAAGTGGCTAAACTTAAGCTTCAGTTAAGTTCAATTGACTTTTGATGTTATTTTTGCTGCTCAATGTGAAAGTGAGTGGCAAGAATTGAGCCTTTCTCCGGTATACTTTTCTTTTTTGTTTAATCTTGATAATCCGGAACTGTAGGTTTGGTTTGATTTGATTAAATATTTATTATTTCCTGACGATAATGCACAGTGTCAACCTTTTGATCAACTTTTTCATCATGAAATATAAGACAGAAATTTAGTTGAAACAGATAGCTGTGTGAGTTAGAAAATGGAAGAGTATACATTGTCATATTTCCCACAACAGTATTGTCTACATGTAGGAATTACCCATGCCAGCACAGGGGCTAGACAGGCGCATGGCTATTTTCACATAAGGTTTCCATGTATATGAAGCCATTGCTGACCTCACAATAACTCATAGTCCATTGAAGGGTTACCTCCCCCCCCCTCCCCTTCCAACCAGTACCCATATTTCCATCTGGAAGAGGTGAGGCACTTTGAAGCTAACAGTATCTTGCCCAAGAACACGATGCAATGCTCCAACGCTAGAGACCAAAACTGGACTGCTTAGTTTCGAGTCCAGTGCACAACCATTCAGCTACCATGCCTCCTCCTCTGATCCTTATGATTGGAGTGGAGTGGATGGGGTCAATTGGGAAGGGTGGAACCCTTACAATATTGCGTAACCAATAGCAACTTAAGGAAACTTAAGGTGACTTTAGGCGACTTAAGGCGACTTAAAGAGACTTAAGGTCCCAGAGTAGGCCTGTTCTTGTCATACATGATAGACACATTTTCAATGAATAAGAGTTTCTCGGCTAGACTGTCCTTATCCAAGGACAAAACATCATTGCCTGCTAACTGCTGAAGTAGTTCGTCTCCTATCGTGACAGACAATACGTTTCCTTCAGTATCTATGAATAATACTTTCGTAGTCAACCCAGTTCGGCCTATCATGTCATTTCTACGCTGATGACAACCAGCTTTACTGCTCATTCAAGTTTCATGATCAAGCGGTTTCAGTGCAAGCAATTGAGTCTTGTTTAAATGATATTGATGCATGGATGCTTGCAAACATGTTAAAACTGAACAGGGATAAAACTGAGCTCCTAGATATTGGACTAAAGTACAAAGTCAACCCACCTATTAAAGGTATTCATGTGGCTGGTGAATACATTGAAGTCTCTATTAATGCTAGAAATATAGGTGTACTTTTTGTTTCCCATGTCAACTTAGAGAAACATGTATCTATCCTTTACGAAATATAGCAAAGATAAGAAACTGTCTCTCTCAAGATAATGCTGAGACACTTGTTCATGCATTTATTTCATCTAATTTGGGCTGTGTTAAGATTGTGTATGTAGCCTATGTGTAAGAAGAAAACATTCATAATATATGTGCCTTGATGAATAAAGGATTTTTCAACAGGTGGAAAAAAAAACAATGAAGCAAAATAATGTAGCTTACATCTTTAATATTCAGAGGAAACTTTACTTTAAACAGTGTTATTTCCTTAAGTCTGTTTAACATCAATAAAACTCAACATAAATGATTTTGGAAATACTCAGGAATGTTGTGGCCTTTGATCTCGTGCTCTCTGACTGTTTGCAGGCGTACAGTATTTTCCACCCGTTGAAAAATCCTTGAAAAATCGTGAGCTCGAAAATTGGCGGTTTTTCGAGCGAGCAGTGTGTTACTGTTACACGACATACCATTCGATACAAATAACAACCGCTGACCAACTCGTTTTCTTTGTTTTGCTGTGAGTAAATTTTGTTTTGCCGTGAGTTAATTTTGTTTTGCCATGAGTAAAGTTTGTAGTGCCGTGACTTTTTGTTTTGCCGTGACAGTTGTGGGCCACCGCAAATCTTAGCCTCTATTACTGCTATATATTTTCTTTATAATAACTTAAATGTTTTTCATTTTTTAGAATTATGATTATTATAAAGTGCGTTTGAGCTCACAGAAAAGGCGCTATATTAAATCTTGTATTATTATTATTATCATTATTATTATTATTATTA